CTAGTTCGGACCCCGTGCCGCGCGGCTACACGCGGCACGGACTAGCTAGTTCGGATTAGGTTTCTAATCCGAACTAGCTGTACACCTCGTTCCACCTTGTGGATTAGAAGCCTAATCCGAACTAGCTAGTCCGTGCCGCATGTAGCCGCACGGCACAGGGTCCGAACTAGCTGGCATTTAAAAATGGCCGGCCGGAACGAGGTGTACAGCTAGTTCGGATCAGGAAGCCTAATCCGAACTAGCTAGTCCATGCCGCATGTAGCACGGGGTCCGAACTAGCCGGCATTTAAAAATGGCGCCGGCCAGCTTTATTCAAATGAAACCCGGGAAATTCAAATCCCGGGCTTCATTTGCAACTCCGTATGACTACATTACCCCCCCTAGGTCGAACTAGGGGAGTAGCGTAGACATACCCTAAGAGTCGCAGCTGGCGGATCAAACGAAGTTGCCCAAAGGCACTCCTGGCCACCGAAGAAATCTGATTTTCAAATGTTAAAAAAGGGTCCAGGAGGACTCCCAAGCTGCATACCTGTTCTTTCAGGGGGAGAGTAACCCCATGTAGAACAGGTGCCATGCCACATTCACGAACAGATGGCCTCCTGATCCACAGGACCTCAGTCTTATCTGGATTCAACTTCAGCTTATTTGACTTCATCCAAACCATCACTGCCTCCAGACATCAATTTAGATCAGTCACTGCCACACCTGGTTCTAATGTCACAAGGAAATAAGAGTTGGGCGTCATCTGCATATTGATGGCACCGTCCTCCAAAATTCCTTATGACCTCTCCTAGCGGCTTCATGTAGATATTAAACAGCATAAGGGACAAGATGGAACCTTACAGGAACACATAGCACAATCGCCACAAGGTCGAATAGCAGCCCCTTAGCTCCACCTTCTGAAAGCGTCCTGACAGGTAGGACCGGAACCATTGCAAAACAGTGCCTCCAATACCCAACTCCGTGAGGCATCCCAGAAGGATATCATGGCCAATGGTATCAAAGGCCGCTGAGAGGTCTAGGAGAATCAACAGGGATGCACTCCCCTCGTCTATCTCCTGGCGTAAATCATCTACCAGGACGACCAAGGCTGTTTCAGTTCCAAAACCAGGCCTAAAGCCAAACTGAAATGGATCTAAGTAGTCTGTTTCTTCCAAGAAAGCTTGGAGTTGCAGCGCCACCACCCGCTCGAGTATCTTGCCCAAGAAGGGAATATTAGCAATTGGGCGATAGTTATTTAAGTCATGTGGGTTCAGCGAAGTCTTCTTGAGTAACGGTTTTATCACTGCCTCTTTCAAGGCAGCAGGAACCATACCAGATCTAAAAGATCCATTAATAATTCCCTGGACCCAGCCAGCCATCTCTTCCCGGCTAGATTTAATAAGCTACGAGGGGCAGGGGTCACGTGGTCGGTCACACTCCTCCAAGCACCTTGTCCACATTCTCAGTCTGCAATAGCTGAAATTGATCCAGAGAAAAAAGACTGGGTGGTGCACTCAACACATTCTGTGCCCCACTTACACAGCAACCAGAGTCTAAATCCAACCAGATGCGGGCGATCTTATTTGCAAAATGCTTTGCAAACAGATCACAGCAGGGGGCCAAAGGCTCCTCTATTTTGTCACGAGTGCCAGACTGCAACAGGCCCCGCACTACTCGAAACAATTCCGCTGGACAGCACTGTGCAGATGTGATACGGGTGGAGAAGTAGCTTTTCTTCACTGTCAGCACCGTCACAGAGTAAGCTCGCAGTTCTGCTCAACCAGCAGTCGATCAGACTCAGCTCTAGTTCTCCAGCGGCGTTCTAGCCATTGCACAGACTGTTTTGCTGCCATCAGCTCCCCAGAAAACCAGGGAGCAAGCTTGGCTCGACTGGTCCGAAGAGGGTGCGTAGGAGCAATCATATCAACTGCCTGGGCTACCTCAGTGTTCCATGTATCAACTAGGGTATCTACAGGACCATTTGCCATAATGGCTGAACAATCCCTCAGGGACCTCAGAAAACCCTCCGGATCCATCAGCCTCCGAGGGTGGATCATCTTAATTGGTCCTCTGCCTCTGTGGAGGGGAAGGTCAGCGATCAGTCCATGACAAAGGGAGTGTAGCCACATCCCTTATCCCAAGAACTCTATCACCGTTAGTCCAAAAAAACAAATTGAGTGTATGACCTGCAACATGTATAGGGTCAGTTATTTCTTGGGGTAATCCTAGGGTGGTCATGGTATCCCTAAAATCTCGGGCCGGACCAGACAAAACAGCCTTGGCGTGGATATTTAAGTCCCCCAAGACCAAAAGTCTCGGCGTCCTCAATACTACGTCCGACACCACGTCGGCCAGCTCGAGCAGAGCATCTGCCATATAGCGAGGTGGGCGGTACACAAGCAGCATACCCAGACATAACAGGCAGGCAGGAGAAAAGGTGGCATGGGGGCGTCATATGAGCTCCCCACTTCAGGTGCCAAAATGTTGTGGGCCGGCCCTGACAGAAATAATAAATAGGAAGGGAGGGTTATAAGATTAGCCTCTTCCCCTTAAATGGGGGTGGAGAGAGGAACTGGGGCCACAAGGGCAAAGGATAAGCCTCTTCCCAAGTGGAGGTGGGGGGAGAGAGATGAGCTCGACCCATACACCCCCCCACCAAGAGTCACATCAACACAGCAGAACAAGGGGAGAATTAACAAGGCTGCCAGGGGGTACGTGAGTCCCTGCTGCTTGGTTGCCCTGCTCAGCTGGGGAAGAGGGTTGAGCTAGGAGTGGGAATGCCCCACCCCAAAAGGCGACGGATCAGCAGCACCCCCCAGCAGCTACAGCGTGGTGAGTTTTAGGTCACGGTGGTTCAGCTTCTCGGGGTTGTCAGATGCCATCAGGGAGAAGTCCCGGAAGATGTCGAGGTATGTCTCGTCACCTGGAAGGGCGAGGGTGTGTATGTACGGGGGAGGGGGAATGAGGAACCCCCAGTCTCACTCCACAGCCCCTTGCTAGCCCAGCCCTGCCCCACACAGCTCTGCCAATGTGTCTCACCCCCGACCCGCACTCCTGCCAACCTAGTCCAGGTCTCCCCCAGCTTGACCCAGCCTCTCATTCGCCGCTCCTGCCAGCCCAGCCCTGGGCTCCCCCAGTTCTGCAAGTGCCCCAGTGTGACAAAGTGCGGGTTGTATTCCCTCTGTTATGTTGCATATGATTTCTAATGTCCTGTACTGTATTGTAGCAAGCCCAGGGTGTGCCTCCGTTTCCCTGGGCACTGCCCCAATATCTAGATGGTGGTGGGAAATCTGGTGGGAGTGTCTCCCTCATATACACACTTGACTGATGTATTCTGAACCTGAGCCCAGGAGGGGTGTATGACCTGGTGTGACCAAGAAGCAGGACAAAGGCAGGACACGGGGCTGGCTGCAGGGAGGAGACAGGCTGCTGGTGTATGAGTGAGTCTCACTGGCTTGGAGCACAGGGAGAGGGTGAGGGCCCTGGATCTGGGCTCCCTCTCCCCAGATGGAGGGTGTTGGCTGCTTCTGGTTCCTGTGCTGACAAGTCTGTTCTATGTGGTGTCCCTGTCGCCTAATAAACCTTCTGTCACGTCTGGCTGCAGATGGGGGTGCAGGGCCCAGTGGCTTCCCTCCCCTCAGTAACAGCCTCACTCTCATCATGCAGCCACTGCTAGCCCAGCCCAGCGCTCCCCCAGCCCTCCCGCATCTTGGCCAGCCGCAGCCTGGGGATGGGGCAGAAAATGAGACATGTTCCCATCCCCCATCTAGCTCCTCCCTCCTCCCCACACCCATGGGGGAGGGACTCACAGGGTGACGATGTCCGCGTCGGCCTGGTCGATGGCGATGGACAACGGGTCCTTCCCCTCCGCATCAACTGCGTTGAGATTGGCCCCTCGTTTGAGGAACAGGCAAGCCAGCCTATCACAGAGTGGAGTCGCATGAGCTGGGGGTGGGGTGCACCGGCCCATCTGCTACCCTCTAGTGGTCAGGCACGGAACTGCAGCCTCCCATGAAATTGCCCCTGCCCAGCTGGGTGGGTGGGTCCCAGCCCCCTGCCCTACCCGGTGTGGCCCAAGAGGGTGGCATGGTGCAGGGGTCCTCTTTGGCTCCATTCTGCAGCAGGAAGTCACAGGCCAGCAGGGAATTCTGGGCAGGGGAGAGAGGGAGTGAGCTGGGTCATGTGTCCCTGCTAAGTAGCCAGGGAGGACGGGAGTGGGACAGTGAGAGGCGAACTCCACCCTACCCCTACCTACCACAGCCACAGCCTGCAGCAGAGGGGTCCGGCTCTCCTCGGCAGCGTTGACCCAATTGACATCGGCACCATGGGCCAGGGCATCAGCCATGGTGGGCAGGTTCTGGTTGCCAGCGGCCCAGTAAAGAAGCGCCCCCGGGTGGAGGCTGTGCAGATCCTCAGGGGAGGAGCCAGCCTCCCCTGGCTCTGGACGGGTGGAAGCAGGAGAACTGTCAGGAATCTGGGCAAAGCCCCCCCCCCCCCCCCACCCCCGCCCCGTCCGC